ATAACGACTACCAGTTGTCAAAATTTCAGCTTTTCACAGTTGTTATTTCTAACAAATATTAGGTTTTAAAATTTTGTCCCTTAGTTTTGGACGCTACTATATATATATATATATATATATATATATATATATATATATATATATAGAACATTTATATACCTAGGAAGCGAACTAAATTCTCCTAATTTAGGAAGGTGGGGGCACCTCGGGGTGGTGTAATTGTTAGCAAACTTGTCTCGCTAGAACGATCCTCACTGGGTGCCCCTTACTTTCGGCCTTGTGCCACATCCAAGGTACGCTTGGAAATTTACTAATTTAGGAAGTTGGTAGAGACGAGAACTTTTCGGCCACCTTAAGTAAAATTGGATATTTTATTTCAGAGTTCTATTGAAATGGTTTTAATGAGTATTACTTATTTGAGTTCAGTCACTGTTAGAATAAGGACAACTGAAGATTACTACTGAAATTTTCTCCGATGACCGCTAAATACGACCTATCTCCCCTCATCACAGGTTCCGTTCACACATTAATACTCGTGCGTGTGATTCCATTCCATCTCTCAGGGTATAACATCTCCCACTGTATATAATAAAAAATGCTTTGTTTTTAAAAACTGGAGTGGGTATCAGGAAAAAATATTCATATCCTCCCCCCACCCAATAATAATTTCTGACCCCATTCTTTATATTTTTTGGGTTTGAATTGATTTATATGCCTCTTGTGAAGGCCATTTTTTCTTGAATCAAATGCACCACCTTGTTGATGCGTTTGTAGATACTTCCCAGTTGCCATTTTTGTTTACCTTTTTGGTAAACCCGAAATAATACTGGTTTACCTTTTTGAAAAGTAGGGTGTAATTTTATTTACCAGTGGAACTCGTTGGCAACAATTTATCAAATGCTGACGTTATTATCCGATTAAACAATTGTTCTGCCGGCGAAATACCATCAAGTGTGTTTGGGTTTGGAGTTTGTCTTTAAACGGCAAAAAATTGTTGAATTCATTCTTCCATCGACTTTTCCCCATATATATTTACAAGGCGCTTTTAAAAGTACAGTACATCAACAGAGAAGAATGCGATTGTAAGTGTAGATTTATGTTAAAAAAGCGAGAATCATTTGTGCAACATTAATTTTGATGAGTTGATAGAATGGGTTTAATTGAGGTAAATAATGAATCCTCCTTAGAACCCGAAGATGACAAAGAGAAATATCTGCAACGAGATGCATGATTGTGACGAAACCTGGACTGAAATTGAACAATCTATTGAAAAGTTTGTTAGTTTTATGGAAAGAAAGCCAGCATTCAGCTTTGACGATTGCAATAACACACGCAGAGTTAAAAAGTGTCTTTCGTTTAAAAAAATTCAAGAACAAAAGCAAAAAAAAATACGGGAAAAATTTAGAATGACATTAGAAGAGAAATATTCATATAACAGAGATTAAAAAAATCCTTGTTACATTATTTGTTTTTGCATACGTGGCATACTTAACTTAATGACCAATTCCATTAATTATCTTATTTTAGTTATCTATTCAATGAAGCTCTCAGTTCATATGCTTGCCGTATAGACAGACTATAATAATTCATTGCTAACAATGATTGTAATGTAGAAAGGTTTGAAGGAGCCGGTATATCCTTTATGGCCCTCATTTTTTTCAGGATACAGTCTACGACCATTTTTATCAATAATTTGCCATAACTATTTAAATGGTGACATAAATAATTTGTATTTGTCTTCAACAAGTTTAAAACCCAAATCTCTTATTCGTTCGAACACTCTTGCTACGCAACTTTTGTGTTCGTCTACCTTTTTGCTTCGAAGCATAATATCATCGAAGTATCCAACTGACAAATCGGGTCCATCCAGAATAGTATCTAAAATTTGCTGGAAAATTGCCGGAGTTACTATTAAATCGAAATAATCCTTTATGCATACTTCTTCCATTTCAACTTAAAGGTTCACATCCATCAAATTTATTTTGGAGAATATAGCCCCCCTGTTTACTTTTGTAAATACTTTTTAGGCTGTTGGTAACTGATAATTATGGTCTTTTACGGGGTTATTCAACCCCGCTGAAAAGTTTGTACACACTCGTAATTTACGTCTTTTTTATTTTTTTTTTTTTTTTTTAGAGTTATGCTGCCCAACATGAAGTGAAATAACTCCCATGTTTTGCAGTCTGTCCAGTCCTATGTTCACTGTCTCAATGGCAGCAAAAGGAAGGGTTTTACTTTAGTGCAGGGACTCAATTCCTCTGTAAACAAGTCTTCATAGCCTTGTATAGTTTTTTTCTTTAAACTGTCAATATTCATATTTGAGTATCTGATGGACTCACAAACAGAATTGCTTGGTTCATTCCATAAATTAAACAAGCGTAAGCAATCTGTATCTAATAAATTTAACTTTTTTTTTCTTTTGTCACGTATGCTACTCCATTAACATTTTTGTTTTAGAACAAAAATTGGCAATTTAATTCACTTACTACTTTTAATGTCTCTCCCAATGTACTACGCGCTTTGAGGTAGCTCTTTTTCAATTTTGGTGCCGCCATTTTTTCTAAGTCTCTTTTGAAATTATGGTAATATCAGAGCCTATATCTAATTGCAGGGTCACAGGCTTGTTGTTCATGAAGATGCAAATATATTTTCTATTCAAATTATTTTTTCCTTTTCGGGTAGCAAGACTTACTTGCACAAAATCTCTTTCAAAATCCCTTTAGTTTTTTTTTTTTTTATTATTTTTCAACCCGCAGAAATTTTTTTTGTATCCAAGCATCCCACAACTGAAACTTTTTTTTTTTTTAAACAGGCAAATTCTTCGGATATCCATTCCCCGAGAACCGTAACAGGTTGTTCCGTGCAGAAATATTTTTTTGCCGTATTTTTTATTGTTTCGACCTCCATTTTCATTTCATCCGGTTATTCAATTTGTCACGTGTCATGCTTTGAATTTACAAACCATTGATATTCCTCAGCTATCGTTTGTGAATTAATCCCTGAGTCCTGTTCAAGCTTTACTTACATTCTTGTACTTCAGTATCTGTCTATATTTCTGAGATGAGCTATTATGTACATTCTTTTCATTATTCGGACTATTGTCCTCATCTTTGTCGCCATGATTATCACAACGTTTCGGCCTTTCAGTATCTGTCTATATTTCTGAGATGAGGTATTATGTACACTATTTACATTATTCCGACTATTGTCCTCATCTTCGTTGCCATATTTATTACAACGTTTCGGTTTTTCAGTATCTGTCTATATTTCTGAGGTGAGGTATTATGTACATTATTTACATTATTCCGACTATTGTCCTCATCTTTGTCGTCATGTTTATCACAACGTTTCGGCCGTTGTACGCTCCGGCCTTCTTCAGGTGGTTGGAATGTCGAACTGAACCCTTTATTGTTCTCATTGGAGTAGACTGTTCTAGTTTCACGTGCCATGTCTAATGGATATGTTATCTCCCGTTAATTCCCCTCTGAAAGTTCTCCATTGCCTTAACCAGGTATTGAACTCACACTCTTTGGATCATGTGAATGGATCTAACCAACGCCTTTATCCACTGTGCCATGTGTCCTTGAGGAAGGCCGGAAAGTACAACTGCCGAAACGTTGTGATAAACATGGTGACAAAGATGAAGACAATAGTCTGAATAATGTAAATAATGTATATTCTTGTACTTATTTCGTTATCTTTGTGTAACTTCTGACCGAACACAAAAATTAAACATTTCAACTGGTTTTCTGTTAAATATTTTAATTTATTCTTTTCACATTCTGTTTACTATTCTCGAATATGTGGAAAAATCATATTTCTTTTTTTATTCAAGGTGAAATCCTATAGAGGGAGGGATGCACTAAAGATGTCACCCACACTGAACAAAACTGTTTTTTCCGTTTGTGGATTTTATCGTTTTCAATGATAGCATTTGTGGGTGAAATTTTAAATGATTTGAGGGCCTCCACCACCATATCCCCTGTCTACCCCATTCCCATCCCATTCCGGATGCCCGTCAGAAATTGCTTTGTCCCTGGAATGTTTTGTGAGACTTCTACGTCCTTATCTCCAGATGGTTTTATCGACAATAAGTATTTCAGTTCTTTGATTCGATTCCATATTTTCGTGCGCATTCATCCTTGGCCAGGGATTTTTTTTTAAGCGTTTCACCCCAAACAAGGCGAGAAGCCACTAGGACGCAAGGGGTTACAGAAAAATTTGGAGCAAGATCAGATAGGAGTGATAGAAGAAAGTATGAGGAGAAGGGTAGTGGATAGATCATGGCAACTGGAGATGTCGATTGACATTACATTTGAATAGCTGGAGATTATAGCTCTCAGGGAAACTGGAATAGGGAAGAGAGTTCCACAGGCGAGAGGTGCGAGACATGAAGCTAATAGAGTAGAAGAGACGGCTACATTTAGGAGTTTCGACAGTGAAATGGTGAGAGCGGTCCTCGTAGGGCGCTTGAACTCATAAAGTCTGGGAACCAGCGAATGCAGCTCCTCGGAGCAATTGCCATGAAAGTATTTGTAAAACAGAAAGAGAGAGGCGACGGCGCGTCAGTGAGAAAGTGACTGTAGACGAGATGCCAGATCAGGACCAATTATATTGCATATTCCCCTCTGGAGCCTATCAATGCGGCAGATATCCTCCTCTAAATTTTACGGAAGTTTGATGTTTTTCTTTCTGGTTTTAATGTAGCGTGTCACTCCTTGGGCATTAATTAAAACCCTTGAGTCTAAGCTTTGATGTAACCTGATAGCAGTAATTATCATCTACTGGAGACAACATCCAACTAAATCAAAAATCTATGGACACCTCCCTGATATTTCTACAGTCTTACATGAACGCAGAATATGCTGTACAGAACACTGCTGGTGTGTAAATCAAGACGTGCGTGCGCTACTGCTCTGGTCACCTATCCATGGCAAGGAAGTGTTGTTCGCCCAATCACCACCTGCATAAAGGAAGTAAGAATTGACACAAACTTAAACTTAGAAAATCTGTATATCAAAAAGAGATGGTATTGATAAATAAGTACAGTATGAGACATATGCATTTACGAAGCTAGATATACAGAGAAACAGGTAAACAGATGGTGAATACATTACGATAGATAGATAGATAGATAGATAGATAGATAGATAGATATGGACGGTCTGAGTAAGGGAGGAAGAAAGAAAAGAAAAATTAATGAACGATATGAGATAGATAGATAGATAGATAGATAGATAGATAGATAGATACGGACTGAGAAAAAAGAAAGAAACCCGAATTAGCTGAGATGGATAGATAAATCGATAGCTAGCTAGCTAGCTAGATTGATAGATAGATAGAAACATGCATATAACATAGAGATAATTAGATAGGGAGATATACAAACATATATCCATATATACCACCATCATGACTTACAAACTTAATGCAGGACCGTGATATATACATCGGCCGTATATATATATATATATATATATATATATATATATATATATATATATACATCTAGGATTAATGGGGAGTAAAACACTGTCACTTACCTGATTGATATATTCAGTATCCCTACTCCAGATTTTCGTAGACGGATCTGTCCCTCCTCATTTCAGGGGGTATCAGCAGTTTACGCTTTTTTTGTGATGATATAATGTTATGATTTTGAAAAATTATTATTTGCACTACTTGGTATTTAAAATATATTATATATATATATATATATATATATATATATATATATATATATATATATCTGAAGGAAACAAATAGGACACGTAAAGTAAAATGGAAAATTATAAACAGGGCTAGAACATGTAAAACTTAGGATGACCCATGCCCTTTGTGCCTCAGAAAATTGCACATTATTAAGCTTCTAAATAATAATAATCTATTAAACAATAGACATGAGTTAACGTTTTTTTTTTCGACATCATCAGATTCATGGTTTGAATAATTAGCTAAAAACAAGCATACAATATAATAACTTGATTAATCCATAGCCCAATCATCAGATTCATGGTTTGAATAATTAGCTAAGAACAAACATACGATATAATAACTTTCATAATCAATAGCCCAAATAAATAGTTTAAATACCCTACAAAAAAGATAACCCTTTATGAAGTCGTCAAAAAAAACAAACGTTACGGCAGTTTTTTTATATGCACAAATCCCTTTAATAAAAAAATAAAATAAAAAAATAAATAAATCTCCGTAGACACGCATACCAGACTAGGGTGAATACATCTTCCGTTTCAAATTTAGACACCCCCACCTTTGCCTGACTTGACATCTATGAAAGTAACTCTATACTGATACTTATTATTAACACCCAACACACGCCTACCCAATTTAAACAATTCGCCCTAGCTGTTACCATGGAAATTTTGATTTCAATTATTAAAACACGTAAATTTCAGAAATACGTTATTTCAAAAAAAAATTCGCATGAAGATGGAACAGAGCTTACTTTAACTCAATTTAATTCAAATAATTATATTGAAGTTTTCGGCTCTTGTTTTGAAACATGAGACCTCTTATGTCGCGAGTTGGAATCATATTTTAAATATATATATATATATATATATATATATATATATATATATATATATATAAAGAAATATAGTCTTAAGATGTGCTATATTTATGGGATAAAGTGCTCAATATCAGAGATAGAGTGTGTGTAAATATAAAAATGAACATAGAAGTCAACAGTTAGAGGCGACAGTCTGTTTCATGCTAGCATGAAACAGACAGTGTATATGTATATATTCGGCCGATGTATATGTATATATCACGGTCTTGCATCAAGTTTGATAAGACATGACTGTGGTATCCTGTGTCAATTCATACTTCCTTAATGCAGGTGGTGAGTGGGCGAACAGATTTCAGCATTATATGACCCATAAGGTGTTGATATGCCGTTAAACAAACAAAACAAATACTGTAATTCCCAATGCATAATACGCTTTCATCCTTAATACGCACCCCAAAATTTGTGCTGACAGTATGGGGAAAATGCTTCTACTCACGAATAATACGCACCTCTTTTTTGGTAATCATGCCTTATAAATTGTACCTCTTCAATTCCATTACAGCCAGCGTTTCCTACACTTATTAAATAAATGGTTTTAACCATAGAATAATATTATTCTAATTTAGTTTTATGATAATTCTTATTTTATTTTACATTTGTAAGTATTTTTAGGAATATCTGATTGTATTTGATATCCTTATGGGGTCGCAGTTGCCGAATGTTAGTGTCAAAATGATGTATGTTCGCAACTGAAATCCACCAACGAAACGGAAAGTTTTTGAAAACATTTTTGTAGCTGTGCATAATAGACACACTTAATTTTCCTTATTATTTTGTTAGTAAATATTGCGTATTATATAAGGGGAATTACGGTAAATAAAACATTGCAAATGTATAGACCCTTGTTCTCGATAGACTCTGAAGAGTGAGGATGGAAACGAGTCTACCCTTTTTCGTTATATATTTGTTTTTTCTGTACTTTCGCTCCCCCGCCTCTTGTGGTTTCTTTATTTCATTATCCTTGTTCCCCACCCCTTGTTTGTGGCGTACGGCCATATCGCGTTAAATCATCGCTTCCTCTACGATCAACGAAGTTACGCAACATCAAGGCTGGCCAGTGCCTAGATGAGTGACCAGTTGCGAATTCTAGTTGCCGTAACCTTAGATGTGTGAGGGAAATAACGGATAATGGTCTGCAATTGTTAATCTGAGAGCCGAGTTCGAATTCCAGATGGCTTCGTTATATTCACTTAGGCGCAAATACCCTTGCCAACGGTAAGAATACACCTCATTTCACCCCAGTTATGGGTTAATTAGTAAGACTTGTATCACTAAAACCATTATTATATCCCCAAAAATAAAATTGCGCACAAAATGATTAGATTTCGGCATTAAAGAACTCATAAATGTTGAGATGCTGCTAAACAAAAAAAAAAAAATCTTTTATGAGCACTGGTTGCTGAAGACATTAGGTTTATAATACCCAGAAATTCATACCCAGATGTCCTCAAGGACACATGATACGGTGGATAAAGACGTTGGTTAGATCCAGTGACAGGACCCAAAGAGCCCGTTAAGGCAGTGGAGAACTTTCAGAGGGAAATTAACAGGAGATAACTGATAAATGACATGCATTAGACATGGCACGCGGAACTAGAACAGTCTACCCCAGTAAGCGAAATAAAAGGTTCAGTTCGACATTCCAACCACTTGAAGAAGGCCGGAGCGTACAACGGCCGAAACGTTGTAATAAATATGGCGACAAAAATGAGGACAATAGTTCGAATAATGTACATAATACCTCATATCAGAAATAGACAGACAACCAACTTTTGTTGGTTGTTTATTATATTGTTTTAGTATGTGTAGTACACAATATGTTCGTGTTTTTATGAATAATAAAATTTTGTATCGCTCATAAGTTGTTCATATATATATATATATATATATATACACCTAGTGAGCCAGACAAACCTACCTAGGTTTCACCTAAACGGATCGTCAGGTAAATTTTGGCAAAACTTTCCCCTGACGATCCGTTTAGGTGAAACCTAGGTAGGTTTGTCTGGCTCACTAAATGTATCTAAAATCTGCTCTACGGTTGTATAGAGCTCTTTTGATAGTTAGTTGTTACTCGTATCAGGGTTTTTTCTTTGGGCTTCAGACTTGCATCTGTGCGATTTTTTGTCGGCAGAAGTTCATGTTTGTAGCTCTTTCTTTTTTAAAACCTTTTTTTTCCTTCGAGATTGATTTGATTAGCAAATCAAAAATTCGAGTGTTTTTCAAAACGAGTCTAGTTATATATATATATATATATATATATATATATATATATATATATATTAAGTAAATCTCTGACAAAATTGGAAAAACATTCGCTTGACAAGTTTCGTCCTTGAGGATTTCATAGAACTGAAATTGATGCTATTACGCATGCGCATAAAGGAGAGGGGACACTGAAAATTTAAATTAAATTTTTTAACTTATCATTTTCATAGATTTTCCTAAAATTGCTCTGATATATAAAAAAACGTCGTTATTCCATAGATAGATAAATAGATAAAGTGATATAGATAGATAGATAGAGTGACATAGATAGATAGATAGATAGATAGATAGATAGATAGATAGATAGATAGATAGATGGATAGATAGATAGAGTGACATAGATAAGATAGATTGATTGATTGATTGATTGATTGTGAAGGTAGTACTATGTATTGAGTTCGATCCTCATTAGATACTACTGTACTCCTAGTCTTGTGACAATCTAAATTCACAAGATAATAATATTGATAGATTGCGGTGACGTATATATACTTTCTTATACGTGAATTTAAGCAACAGATCCAAGCTTAGAAACGAACATATAGCAGTTCCTCAAACACCCGCATTCGTCTTTTGCCTGGATCGCAATTGTGCGCATACATACACGATGCCTCATTTATATGTCTTCCTTTGGCTGTAAAACCAAGTCTCTGTTATCAACCAATCACAGTCATTGCTTTTAACAACTTTCTTACGTTAATAAAATAGCGAAGCCAAATAAAAGGGCCGTGAAAAAGAAAAGCATCCTTAAAACAATTTCGTCTCCCATTTAGACTTGACACAAAACTAATGATATATTAACTGCGTTTCTTTTGCTGGAGGTCTGTGTGAGTAAAATAAGGAAGCCAGATGAGTTTGAGGTCCAGGGACAGAGGATTGGGAGTGAAAAGAAAAAGAATGGGGGTTGAGTGTTCGTTTCGAAAGAAAAGAATGCACTATCGTCAGAGAACATTTAGAGAAAACTCGAGATTTTAAAGCGAGAGATATTTGAGGAAAAGTTGAGATTTAAAATGGAGAAAACAAAGAAATATAAAGAAAATGATTGAAAGAACATGTAAAAATAGAAAGAAACGATGAAGTTTGAAAAGTTTGAAGGAGGAAAAAGATGAAGAAGAAGAAGAAGATGCAGAAATGAAGAAAAATGGACTGAAAAATGAAAAAAAAACCCCAATGCATTGAATTGAAAATGTGATCACAGGATGGAAATAAATATATAACAAACCAAGAAATAAAAGTATGAATACAATGAATGAAGAGATGAAAGAAAATATGATGTAAGGGGCAAGAAGGAATGACTCAAAGACAAAAGAAAAATCAAAATATAAAAAGAAAAAAATGAATGAAAGAAAAGAAAGCAATAAAAAATTAAAAAAAATGTAACGTAAAAAAAGCACATGAAATAAAGAAAAAAGAAAGAGAGAAAGATAAAAGAAAGGAAGGAAAAAAGTAGAAAGAAAGAAAGATAAAAGAAAGGAAGAAAGAATAAGGAGAATAAAAGGAAAGAAAGAAAGAAAGAAAGAACGAAAGGAGGATTACAGAAATAAGCAAAGAAGAAAAAGAAAGTAGGATAAAGAAATAAAAAAAGAAAAAAAAAAAAAAAAGAAAAGAAAAGATAAAAAAGAAAAAAAAGAAAGAAATAGAAAAGAAAAGAAAGAAAGATAAAAGAAAGAAAGGAAAAAAGATAAAAGAAAGGAAGAAAGAAATAGAAAAGAAAGAAAGATAAAAGAAAGGAAGAAAGAATAAGAAGAATAAAAGAAAAGAAGAAAGAAAGAAAGAAAGAAAGGAGGATTACAGAAATAAGCAAAGAAGAAAAAGAAAAAAGGATAAAAGAAAGGAAGAAAGAAATAGAAAAGAAAGAAGGATAAAAAAAGGAAGAAAGAAATAGAAAAGAAAGGAAGGAAGAAGGAAAGAAAAAGAAAGAAGTATAAAAGAAAAGAAGAAGGAAAGAAAAAGAAAGAAGTATAAAAGAAAGGAAGAAATGAAAAAAAAGAAGGGTAAAAAATGAAGAAAGACAAAGAAAGAAGGATAAATGAAAAGAATAAAGAAAAAGAAAGAGAAATAAAAGAAAGAAACAGAAAGAAGGATAACAGAAAACAAGAAAGAAATAGAAAAGAAAGAAGATAAAAGAAAAGAAGAAAAAGAGAAAAGAGAGAAGGATAAAAGAAAAGAAGAAAGAAAGAAAAGGATAAAAGAAAGGTAGAAAGAAAGAAAAAAGAAGATAACAGAAAGGAAATATAAAAGATACAAAAGAAATAAAGATAAACAAAGCACAAAAAAGAAAAAGAAAATAAGCAAAACAAAAAGACAAAAAAAAAACTAAGACAGAAAAAAAGAAGGAAACAGAGAAAAGGAAACACGAAAGAGAAATAATTGAACAAAAAAATATAGAGAAAAAATAGAAAAAAAATCTATATAAGTACAAAACCATAAGAAGGAAAGCGAAAAATGGAACAAAGAAAAAATAAATAAAATGAAAACGAAGGAAAAAAAAAGAAAACGGAATAATTAATTAAATGACAAAAGAAACGAAAGAAAGCAAAAATGGAAAAGTGAAAAGAAGAAAAATGAAAGAAGAAGTTAAAGATGAGGGTGAAATGTCTAATAAGGAAAAAAATCTCAAGACGGAAAAAGTTTAAAAGAAAACTTGAATTATGTGTATAGGAAAAAATATGCAGTTAACAGTTGAGAAGAAAAAATAAGAGGAACGTAAACATGAAAAAGAAAATAAGAGTAAAAGTGAAGAAGGAGAAAAATAATGAAAAATGGCAAAGACAAAGAAATATAGATAAAGCATAAAATGGAGAGAAAGAGAATGCAGAATAATAATAATAATAATAAAAAAAACAATAGAAGATGAAGGAAATGAAGGAGAAAAGAAATGAAGTGAAATCAAAAAGATAGCAAGTGGAAAGGAAGAAAGAATGAAAGGAAGGAAGTTTAAAAAAAAATTAAAATGGAAATCCATTAGCAAAAGGCGGGAAATAAATAAGTAGAAGAAATCAGGAATCAATGGAAGACATAAAGATGGAATGAAGGAAATAAGAATCGGCGGAACAAAATGAGAAAGAAAGGACAAAAAAAGGAAAACAAAGTAAAAAGAATGAAAGAAAGAAAAAAAATGAAAATTGAATGACATTAAAAAGTGCTGAGAAAGAAAGAAAGAAAGAATGAAAGAGAAATTGAAAGGAAGAAAGAAAGAAAGAAAGAAAAGACAAATCGTAGGAACAAAAAGAGAAATTAAAGACGATAAGAGGAAAGAATGAAGACAAGATATGAAGATTGAAAGAGAGGCAAAAGAAAGAAAGAAAGAAAGAAAGAAAGAAAGAAAGAAAGAAAGAAAGAAAGAAAGGACAAATCGTAGGAACAAAAAGAGAAATTAAAGACGGTAAGAGGAAAGAATGAAGACAAGATATGAAGATTGAAAGAGAGGCAAAAAAAAGAAAGAAAGAAAGAAAGAAAGAAAGGACAAATCGTAGGAACAAAAAGAGAAATTAAAGACGGTAAGAGGAAAGAATGAAAACAAGATATGAAGATTGAAAGAGAGGAAAAAAAAAAAAAAAAGAAAAAAAAGAAAGAAAGAAAAGACAAATCGTAGGAACAAAAAGAAAAACAAAGACGGTAAGAGGAAAGAATGAAAACAAGATATGAAGATTGAAAGAGAGGCAAAAAAAAGAAAGAAAGAAAGAAAGAAAGAAAGAAAAGACAAATCGTAGGAACAAAAAGAGAAATTAAAGACGGTAAGAGGAAAGAATGAAGACAAGATATGAAGATTGAAAGAGAGGCAAAAGAAAGAAAGAAAAAGAAAGGACAAATCGAAAGAAAAACACAAATTTAAGACAAAAAGAGGAAAAAAAGACAAATATATGAAGATTGAAAGAGAGGCAAAAGAAATGAAAGAAAGAAAGAAAGAAAAAAGAAAAAGAAAGAAAGAAAAGGACAAATCGTAGGAACAAAAACAGAAATTTAAGACGGTAAGAGGAAAGAATGAAGACAAGATATGAAGATTGAAAGAGAGGCAAAAGAAAGAAAGAAAGAAAGGACAAATCGTAGGAACAAAAACAGAAATTTAAGACGGTAAGAGGAAAGAATGAAGACAAGATATGAAGATTGAAAGAGAGGCAAAAGAAAGAAAGAAAGAAAGAAAGAAAGAAAGAAAGAAAGAAAGGACAAATCGTAGGAACAAAAACAGAAATTTAAGACGGTAAGAGGAAAGAATGAAGACAAGATATGAAGATTGAAAGAGAGGCAAAAGAAAGAAAGAAAGAAAGAAAGAAAGAATAAACAAAAAAAATAAAAATAAGTAAAGAAATAATGGAAGAAAACAATTCGGTGGAATAAAAATAAAAAGAATATAAGGGGAAAGAAGTTAAAGAAAAAATCAAATGCAAATGGAAAGAGCAGCAAAAGGAAAAAAAAGAAGAAAGAGCAGAATGAAAGAAAGAAAGAAAGAAAGAAAGAAAGAAGAAAACATAGTATGAAAGATAACAATTCCGTGGAATAAAAAAAAAAATAAAAAAAACGTAAGAGAAAAGAAGCAAAAGAAAAGCATGAAAGAAAACGGGCAAGATATGTAAATGAAGAGACAATAGAAAAAGCGGGAAAAGAAAGTGAGATAGAAAGAAAAAAGCCACACGTAACAAGAACAACAACTCATCCGTGAGTAAATAAATAAAAAAAAAAAAAAGAGAAAACAATGAAAATAAAATCTTTGCCGAATTTCGGAAATGAAGGAATCAAATATAGCCATAAACAAATAATGAATAAATTAATAATGGATGTGAAGTAAAGAATAACTTGGAAAAGGAGGCCAAGAAATCCGTCATGGAAACGGTTTATCGTTGGATAGTAAAGGGCATGGTCATGGGTCGTTGTGTATTCGTAAGGTTGCACTGGTCTCCATATCAAATAACAGGAAAACTTTTACGTGTATCAGTGTTAGGGTGAGAGGGTAATGCAAAGTTGTGAGACAAAATCGCCTTATTTGAAACTCATATATTCGAAGAAAACGAAATTTCACTGCAGGACGAGGAAGAAAGGATTCTTGTTACAAATTTCTTCTTTTTTCACCTCCTTTACTATTTTTTTTTTATTCTCACATAAGGAATGTTTGTTTTCCTTATTACTGATGTGTCTCAGTCGAACATGAACCCATTGGCAGAAAATGAAAAAAGGCTGATAGTTTTAATTAATTGTGTTTGCAACTGAGATGACATTTCCCACTTATGGCTTTGCACGCTTTCGCACATGCGTAAAACTTGTCTCTTCTGTTCATTGCTTCACGGTTATTTTATAAAGTAAATACACACGAGTATTAATACATTAGACAAAAATCAATATGTTTCTCTTCTATGATAGCAACACTTACTGTGTTCCTCCTCAATTTCCGAGTTTCAAGTATCCGAAAATCAATAACAAATGTAACATTTCTATTGATTACCTCGGCAAAAGGAATAGTCTGTTTTTCACTCATATACAAAGGAAATGGTTTTTACTTAAATATGCACGTAGCTAAGAATTTCGAGTCATTTCCACGTAATCTTCTTTACAAGTTGCGACATTTTATGAGATGTAGCTTAATTTAGTTTTTGATTCAGCAAATACATACTCTTAAAGACAGATATGTCATTTACTCGGCATGCTCAATTTAGATACTGTCGTATTTGTTCAAACTCCCTTGAGATGATGGAGCAGAGGCTTTACAACGAAGACAGGAGGGTGTGTGGATGTACTTAACTTACGACAAGAAATTAGATGCATTTTTAGGTTATTGAACAAATAAGGAAGCAATAAAATTATACACTTAAAAAACTGCCTAGCTGAGAATATAAAAAATAATTATTTAAAGCAAGGACATTATATCCAGTATATTACAAGAACAAGGGATAATATGACAACAGAATATATATATATATATATATATATATATATATATATATATATATATATATATATATATACACACACACACACACACACACACACACACACACACACATATATATATATATATATGTGTGTGTGTGTGTGTGTGTGTTTAATTAAATATTGATCTCTTCCGACCGAAGGTTATATATATATATATATATATATATATATATATATATATATATATATACACACACACACACACACATATATATATATATGTGTGTGTGTGTGTGTGTGTTTTAATTAAATATTCATCTCTCCGGACCGAAGGTTATATATATATATATATATATATATATGGAGGGACGGTGGAGTAATGGTGGATTGAGCAATCGGGGAGCCGAGTTCGAATTCCAGTCGAATCCATTGCATTCACTTACGTGCTAATACCCTTAGGAAAGGTGTGAATCCTACTACACGTAAAAAGCAAGGTATTTAACCGCACTACCTTATAAATGTCTTTTTTAAGAAACTTGTATAAAATAGTAATTGATGCCCAAATATATAATATGAGATTATATGACCTTGCAGCCCGACAAGAAACGTAATATTAAAAGCGAGTCCTATTAACACAATATAGAATTAATTGTTAAAACTGACTCACAAAGAGCGCTCAGTGTTTATTTTCATTAAACAGAGCAAAATATTTCATACAATTGCAATTAAGATTCCATTAGTGAATGTTGATTTTTAATAGCGATAGCTTGGAATTGACACCATAGTTTGAAAAATCCTCTGAAATTTAAATTTATAATTCGTGGGTGAAAATGATCAGTCACTAACGGTATCTTAATTCGCATTTGATATATATATATATATATATATATATATATATATATATATATATATATATATGAAAATATATAGGAAAAAGAACTCGTTAGGTAAATAATCCAAACTTCTTTTATTTTTTTGTTATTATTTTTTAAAAAATGGTGCTCGATACAAAAGTAGAGCATAAATATAATTATTTATTTAAAATATGATTCAACACGCTACAAAGAGTTCTCATGTTTCAAAACAAGAGCCGAAAACTTCAATATACTTTTTGAATTAAATTGAATTAAAGTACTAGCTTAGTGCTTTAATTCAATTTAATTCAAATAATTGTATTGAAGCTTTCGGCTCTTGTTTTGAAACATCAGAACTCTTATGTAGGTGTTGGAATCATATTTTTAAATAAATAATTATATATATATATATATTAAGAAATGGACAAGGTCCGACAATTTATTTATTAAAGACATATTTTTATGTTTTATGTTATATCTATAAAATAACAACGTTAAATATAAAAATATGTTTAATATATATATATATATATATATATATATATATATATATATATATAATATTAATATATATAAAAAAAGGTATTAAAAATAACGGTAAAGGATAACAACGCATCATAACTTTGTATAAATACTTATACTAATCAACATATCGTATTCTATTACTTGCACACCTGAAGTTGATCTTGTAAGAAGATCGAAAGTACTTGAGAAACGAAAGTAAAAGAATTTTAAACAGCTATAGCACATTTCTCTCACCCTTTAACATAATTATACGGAATGTTAATCGTGAGTATGAACGGATTTTATTAAAAATTAGCAGACATAATGTCTATAATTTATTCAGTCATTATATATATATATATATATATATATATATATATATATATATATATGACCGTACCACTTGAAATTGTAACGGAAAAAAAAAAATCGAAAATCTTCCGGCGTTAAGGAAAGGAAAGTAAAGCATGATGCTTATGTAATTTAATGCTGAGTATATTAAACGGCAGTGAATCTATTTCGTTGTTGTAATTTTTGTTATATCTTATGAATATAATGAAAAATGTTATGTCTGCTTATCACGGTAAGAAGCATGTCCATTGCGTCATTTAATTTTAGAAATCATTAAACAATTCTGAGTTAATTTACAAGTAAAATTACTTGTAAAATATACCAGTGAGGGGTTTATACTTAGCGACAACGACTGTAGCTGATTTCTTCAAGAAATATATTCTTAAAACCGAATTGAAAGCATTTCGCGATCAGTCTTCACAAGAAAATTTAGATTCGATTATGAAACAGCGCATGTAAGAACTCGTTAAATGAATAAATAGGAATTCATATCTGTTAATATCTGAGCGTATATCTCCTTGTCAGGATATGAAATCTGAAGCCTACATATCTTCTGTGTTCATCCATTGTTTCACTCGTTTGTTGATAGACGTTTTCTGAAAATGACATTTTGGTTCTCGCCAGAACAGAAGAGAAAATGTTGGCAGGAATAAATTTCAGATTCGTGACGAGGGTTTCCAAGAATGCTCTCGGATTTATAAAGGACAATGAATAAAATATGGTGCTGACGTCTTGTTCTTGTTATAAGAAAAAACGAGGTTATTCGACGCTAAAACGGTGTCATTCTTTAACAGATAATACGGATATTTTCTGTATTTTAAAAATAAAATAAAACCTAGATTTTTGTAAAAAATGAAAAAAAAAACACTACATTTTGAAATATTAATGTTTATATAATTCTTCATAATGTTCAGTAATATTTTCTAATACACTGCACTGTTTTTTTGTTGTTTTTCTTCCTTTGAGCGAATTTTCTACTCCTGCGTATTGATGTGGATTATACTGCCTTCAAGCCTCGCATTGTTTGTTTCTCTCTCTCTCTTTTTTTTTCTATTTAGGCGATAATATAATTTGGTCTGTTATATTTCTTCTGGGTTGCAATGATAAGTGATTAAATTTATCTTGGGTAGCCAGGTTCGTTGGTTTTCGCCTGTGATAGTTTATATTTACCTTTCAAATTCTCTTTGAAGTGTTTTCTCTTCCCATTTTATGGCCATGTTGCATTCCACTCGACTTACGCTTTTGCCACTCTCTTATCATTTATTTTAAATGTTACACACAATTTTCAGGATCATTTTACTTTGCAGTTGGACGCATCTTATGCATCCTATCTTCGTCGTCAGATACAGATGATTCGGCTTTCTTCTTTCCTCTTCATATATAGTTTCACTCATTATTATTATTATTATTATTATTATTATTATTATTATTATAAACAATTACAGAAGAGAACAATTTAAGGAAAGAAAATAAAGACACTGTTCATCAATATTTAACATTATTTCGACTATATGCCTGTTTTTTTCCAGTTATGTTTAAAAATTGCATTCAAATATGAAAATATGATAATTCGATTGGGATGAACTTTGAGATTGCCCCAAATGTGGGCGAATTGGATGTGCTTCTTCTTCTTCTTATTATTATTATTATTATTATTATTCTACGAGAGCAGTATACCAACAAAGTGACGCTGAAGTACAAATATACGAAGTCCAATATACAATATCGTTCTGCCCAATTTTTTTTCTACCAGGCACATTCTCAAAGCCGAATGTATGCAATTTATTGAAATCCTTCAACCCTAAAAAAAATCTCTTGTCAAATGGTAATGGTCTGTCGCCATAACTCCCGCTCAAGCAGAGAGATGTTCAGAATTTACGGGTTATGGTTGGACAACTAACAATCAAATGTCTAAGACTGGATAATAAACACTATAGTACATCTTAATTCGCCAGTACAAAAACATGTATATGTTAACACCTTTAATCAATAAAGATCAGAACACATGTTAGCTATGTTTGATGTAACATTAGGAAACATATTATTATTATTATTTCCAGATTGCTGGTATGATATTAGATACACTCAAAACTGAGATGAGGCAAAGTAAAATTCTTCGTAGAATGTTATTGGTATTACGTTAGTGATTCTCATTAATACAGTTTTTTTTTTTTTGTATTTGATGCCGTGAATAGGTTTTGGGAGATTTTTAATATATTGTGGCACTATTTACCAAGGCAGAAAAAGAAAAGAAAGGAAAAGAGAGGCGAAGACCCAAAGCGTGGATGATAAGCAGAACACCTACGGCTAAGAGACAATGGATAAAGGATATTTTGATAAATAACAAATGGCGAAGAGTGTCATTACAATGAAAAAAAAAAATTCTGAGTGGATAAAGGAATCAGGTGTGTTCTGACGACGGGCTGTGTTATTGGGATACATAAACAAACCGCTAATGCGGGAAGGCATCTGATTGGCAAACCACAGACCGACTAGCCAAAGAAAAATCCAAATGAAAATGTTATTTTGATAAGTGACGGAAAACAGGTGGACTACAGGGCTTTGGATAGATATGAAAAAAGAATTGTGTCAAAAGCCGCACACGAGGTGGCCACTGACCGATTTCTTTCGACAGAACATCTTTAGCCTGCGATAATAAAACTATGTTATCAGAAATGTGTACCGAAAAAATGAATGG